TTTTTTTTTGATATTTTCAACGTATTTTCTCGCCCATCCAGCGAACCAAATCATCCAACTCATTAAGTATAACGGAAAGCCTGAAGGACTTAGCGTTATTAACTTCTGCATTCATTAAGCCTTTTTCCGTACTCAGCGCGCACGAGGTGTGAAAAACAACAAAAACTCAAATAAGATTGGTGGACGGTGCCTCAAAGAGTTATCCGAAACTCAAAAAAGTTATTTCGATCAGTTACAAGTGCAGGCAATGCACATGCGCATTTTCATGTGTCAGGCCACTAACACAAATTTCGCCCATCGAGGGAGAAGATAGGGGTGTTTCTTTTCGGTTTTCCTCTGAGGTCAATTCATGGCAGCCGTTGCTGAATGGGTAACGTTCTAGGTATGGTGTGAAGAAGAAGTCGACTTCCTTCCGTCTTGTGGCATTGCTTAATATGGTGACATTAGCTGTCTTCCGAATAAGCGTGTCTTTCTACCTCGTTTACTGGGCTGTATGTTTATTCTAGTCATTATTCGCAAATATTCGATATTGCTTGTATCTTCCAGATAGTTCAAATCCCAGTCATTCCGTGGTTGCATACTATCTTCACCATTTTCGTGATATTCTCGCTGTTCTGCTCGAATGCAGTCCTCGCGTACAGGGTCATGGCCGCGGATGGCCTTTTTGGTGAAAATTATTTTGTGACTGGTTATGGGTACGACTGATGTGGACTTACTAATATACTCGTGATTATTAGGGCAATCACGAGCTCGTAAGCCCCCACCACCTGTTAATAGCGCAACTGTTCATGTCGAAACAGGAGTACGAGAGGATTATGCCGACGAGGAAGAGGTAGGTGAAGATAATATCAAACCGATGACATATGAGTTTTTTTTCCAACGACAAACGAGCCTTGTCAAATGAAAACCTAAAACTTATCGGCCACCCTACCACTGTCCTGCAAACACACCTGATATACGCACGGTCGCTCCAAAGCTTGCATTCTAGGCGAACGGCAAGCAAGAAGCAATAATTGAAAGCTGCAAAATTAGGAATCTGAATCTGCCTCGACGTTCTGCAATTCCTGATTTGCGGTAGGCTTTGCAGCAGCGTACCCGTTAGATTGCTGTCCGCCAATCCCTTCGATCCAACGAGAGCGATGGCTGGAAGGGGAGCTGCGTATGCACACGGTCGTCAACGTGTTAAAGGCAGCGAAAGCAAATCTGGACGTATGGGGATCTCATGTGGAAAGAATTTTGGAACCCTATTGTAGATACTGTACTTTGGACTGAATTAAATAATCATTCGATTATCCGAATGAATCATTCGAATGCGAATGATCTTCGAATTTTCGAAAATCTGAGATTTCAAATAATATTCGATAGTCGAA